TAATATTTTAATATCATATTTATTTTTTATAAAATTAAATATTATGAATTAGGTAATATTTAAATGTAAATTAATTGAATTAAATAAAAATTATATATTAATTTCAATATTAATTCAAGAAACTTGTTTTTTTTTTTTATTTTAATAGATTTAGGTACCCATGTGACTTTTGTCGGTAACTTACAAATTGAAAATTCGCACATTGCATTGCCAATTCAAATTTCAAACACCATTCTCCTCGGTAATTAGCCAACTACTCCAACTAGTACGTCACTGTTTATAATAGGTAGAGACATGATTCTGGTAGGTAACTAGCCCACCATCCCACCTACCAAGACACTGTTTATCATTCTTGGAGACATGATCTTCGTCGGTGAATTACCGACGTGAGTTACTAGAAAGGAACTTCGGTAGTACTGTTTCCGGACATCTTTGAACACATATTTTTTGTCGGTAATTTGGAGTTATATTACCGATGTAACTTTTATCCATGTCAATAAATGAATTACCGAGACCACTTTCACCAGGACCCAATCACCGACATGATTCTTAATGAAAAATTGCTTTACCGACGTGATTTCCTTTCTTTCCCACGTGATTTCACGTCGGAGAATTCATGAATTCTAGTAGTGGATAGATGTGGCTAATGAATTCGGAGTCCCTAGCTACGTGTTTTTTACCTCAGGCGCTGCCACTCTTAGTCTCTGTTTTCACTTACAAGCCCTCCACGATTCCCAGAACATTGACATCACCGAGTTCAATGGATCTAACGCCGAGCTTCCAGTTCCTTCTTTCCGGAACCCAGTTCCGGCAAAGGTCTTACCTTCTTCCGTACTTCACAAAGACCGCGCCGCCGAAATATTTGGCTTCACTAGAAGGTTTAGAGAGACCAAGGGAATTATGGTAAATTCATTCATGGAACTCGAATCTCAAGCGCTCAACTCTCTTTCGTCTGATCCCCAAATACCACCAGTTTATCCAGTGGGACCCGTATTGACTCCTCAGATGGACGGTCAAGATCATTGCTCCGATATCATGAAATGGCTTGATGATCAAGCTCCGTTGTCAGTTGTGTTCCTATGCTTCGGGAGCATGGGAAGCTTCGGTGAGGATCAAGTGAAAGAGATCGCCTGTGCACTAGAGCAGAGCGGACACCGATTCCGGTGGTCCCTACGCAAACCTCCACCGAAGGGCACGATGCAATTACCCACTGATTATTCAAATCTGGAAGAAATATTACCGAAAGGATTCTTAGATCGGACGGGTGGGATTGGGAAGGTGATTGGATGGGCTCCACAAGTGGAAATCCTGGCCCACTCAGCAATCGGAGGGTTCGTATCGCATTGCGGGTGGAATTCTACATTAGAGAGTATATGGTTCGGTGTTCCGATTGCGGCGTGGCCGATGTACGCTGAGCAACAACTCAATGCTTTCCAGTTGGTGGTGGAATTGGGATTAGCGGTGGAAATTAAAATGGATTATAGGAGGGATAGGATGACGGAGAACGAACCCATTGTGAGTTCGGCGGAGATAAAGAGAGGAATAATATCTGTGATGGAGGAGGATAGCGATATCAGAAAGAAGGTGAAGGAGATGAGTGAAAAGAGCCGAAACGCCTCCGTTATGAGTGGCGGATCTTCCCACTCCTCGCTCCGCCGTTTTATCACTGACGTCATTGATAACGTCCAATGATTACAGAAGACTTCCTCGTAGAACTCCAGTAACCATTGATTTTTCTTCTGATAAATAATTAGGGATGTAATAATTAATTAATAAGAGTTTTTAAATATGTACTTAATAAAAGAGGTCTTTTTAAATATGTATTATATTTTTAAAATATAAATTAAAAATATTTTTTATAAGGATAATATAAATTATAAAACTGTATACTAAGTTTAGTATTATTATTAAGTGAATAAATTTAATTGAATAATTAATAAATTAAATATTAATTTTTATTTTTTTAATATAAATTTATAATAAAAAATTATACTCCCTCTTTTATTTTTAATGAATTTATTTTTTATTTTTTATT